TTTTAGTGTATTGACTTGAGTTCAGTTCATAGTATGAGTCTAAATTACAGATTTGGTTATTTTCTTTATGAGTGATTAATTCTCGAAAGACGGTCTTTCATCATTATGCCCCCGTATTGATTGGTTGGAGCTATGGCTTTCATATTTCACATGTGTATTCCTTGTGACAAGACCTTTCTTTGGGTACCACCAAATTTGACCTTTTTGACCTTGACCTTGGAGTTTGACTCAGTTTTGCAAAATTTAACCAAACTTTAACCTTGGCCATAACTTTTGAACAATTAGTGCTAGGGCTTTCATACTTCACATGTGTAATCCTTGTAACAAGACCTTTCTTTGGATACCAACAATTTTGACCCTTTCACCTTGACCTTGGAGTTTGACCTACTTTTGGAAAACTTTAACCTTGGCCAAAACTTTTGAACGGTTGGTGCTAGGGCTTTCATATTTCACATATGTAATTCTTGTGACAAGACCTTTCTTTGGATACCAGCAACTTTGACCCTTTGACCTTGAGTTGGAGTTTGACCTACTTTTGGAAAACTTTAACCTTGGCCATAACTTTTGAACGATTGGTGCTTCAGCTTTCATAGTTCACTTGTGTAATTCTTAGGAGAAGGCCTTTCCTTGGGCTCCATTAATTTTGACCTTGACCTTGATGTTTGACATACTTTTGAAAAAACTTTAACCTTTTTCATATTTATTCAATGGCTGCTGCGAGGACTTTCATAGTTCACAGGTTTATTCCTCGAGACAAGACCTCACTTTTGGTACCAACATATTTGATTTGCATCTGAGAAAGTTTAACCTTTGCTATAAGTTGCCATACGGGGGCATCAGTGTTTCACAAACACATCTTGTTTCAAATGTAATGGGATTGATGCTTTTTTTTTAAATTATTATTATAGTGACTGAGATGCCTGATAAAAGATTAAAACACTATGAAGAGATTTTAAATGAGTATTCTACGTATTTCACAAACTACGTATTTCACAAACTTATTGCAAATATTTACAAAATATGATACCTGAAACAAAAATGTGAAAAATAAGATTTTCATATACATGTATATTACAGTTACTTTCTTACCAAACAAGCAAAATAAAACTATAATTTGAAGAATATGTCACATTCTCAATGGGAAACAATTTATGAGCGCAGAAAATGTCCTCGACATACATGATTAAAATTCGTTTTCTATGTCACGTAGGGTATTGTAGCGAGCATTACACAGTTTGGAATATAATGGAATCAGGTCCATAGCAGATTGAAATCTATAAAACGAATTAAATGGATACAGCACAAAAAATGCAGTTCTAATGAAGCTATTCCTCTGGTCATTTTCAATGGATCTTTGAAAAAAGAGTGAGTCTTTCATCCAGTATAAAATATTGTAGCTTATTAAAATAATTAAAATCATTCTAACTGCGGTCAGAACTTTATGGTTCCCTTCACGAATTTTCACCGATGTTCCAAATAAAATGAAGATTGTTTGATACGTAATGTAGATGACATTGAACCAACTGTGGAACGTTGTCACAAAAGGGTTTTTTTCATGAGAAAACATTAATGTTACAATACCAGATAAACTTACAAATGATGAACAGAGTATCAGAGTCATGTCATTGAAGCTTATGCGGCGGTTTTCTATTTGAATATCCAGTTTTCTGTTTAAAACATAAAAGGCATTCAGGATTAGAAAAAATATAATGATCTTCGCTCCTATAATAGAAAGTACCCATGGATGAATTGTCTTTGCTAAAATGCGTTCGTTAATTGTGAACAAAATACCGTAGTAGAGAAAGGGCGCATTCAAAATGGCTGCAACTGCACCTGTGATAAATCTATGTTTCTTGGAAAGGGACACAGATGATTCTTGTACGGGATCTCGATCAATTTCCCGATGGTCGTAGATTCCACCGAAGTAATGTTCATAAAATTCAGTTTCCTTTGACAGTGAAAGGGTGAGAATAAGAGTAGCTGCCAGAATGCTGTATTCCATTAAGAAAGGAGTTAGTAGCATGTCTGTCAACCGAAATACGGTTTCTAAGTCGTATTCTTTTATGTAAGAGCAATTCCGCATCACTGCATAGTACTCTGAAATATCCGCTGTCGTTTTGACAAAAATGCTGAATACGTTGGCTTCCAACCATTTGACAAGATTTGAAATCGTCAACATTGAAATTATATACTTTATTTTCCAAGAGTCGAAAAAGGTATATTGACTGCAAAAGGAAATAAAAAGCATCTGCAAAAATGTGAACACAATAAAGCTGTATTTTCCTAAGCTTTTGGACGTTAAGATGTCGATATGGCCACATTTTTGATTGAGGTCATCGTAAATAATTTGAAGAATACATTGGACAACTCCCAGGATCCATAAAACAACTACCTTTGTCGTGACCACTGGCGATTGACGCCTTTCTTTGATCCACGCTCTCCGACTTCTGTTGATGGAAACGCATGCGCACAGAATCATAGCAGAAGACAGCAAATGGACAAACAAACAGATATACCCAACAATAGACTCGGCTTCACGCTCCGAATCACCAAAGAAGATAATTGGGGCAAAGAAGCCACCAAGTAAACCAGATGCCATGAGAAAAGGCCCAATGTTTCCATCACTCTGTAAGGTGCGTACCATTCCGACCTTTTGCTTGATTCTCGAGCTCTTGTGCAAATATAGACCTATGTTCGACGACTCTAAAGACCTTTACCTCACGGTTTTTTTTTAAATGCCGGAAATAATCATCCAAAAAGCAGAATCACAAAATCAAAAGTATAAACATATTTTTCACATTCATCAGTTTCACACACATTAGAGAGGAAGTAATGGTTGTCTTTATCTATAAACATCATGAAAGTGCCTGGAAACGGATAATTCTATTAACTCATGAACGTCTGAAAATGACTAACCATTATTATGAGTTAAAGCTTTTTATATTTTTTTTTCTTATATGTTCCTCCAGTTTAAAACTTTGAATATAAGTATGCTTACAAACTGAAGTGCTATTTTTTTTTATAAGTGCAATTTCTTTTTTTTTTTTCAGCATTACCGAAGAAATGCTTGTTATATTGAATAAGGAAGTAAAATGTTAAGATAAAAGACGTATGGTTTTTACATAAATTCATTACTTATTTAAATTGAAAATTTAAAAAAAAAAAACCAACAACAACAACAAAAAAGGAAAATTAATATATTTCTTTCAGATGGAAATTCTATAACTACGATAGCGTCTTGATTTGTAAAGTATATGTAAAGGGATAAAAATAAAAGGCCAAATAAATAGAATGTGAGAAGCAAAAATATCAAATTAGGACTTGTTAAAGTATGATTTTTGACCTGATACCCAATGATGTTTAATAGAGGAGTATTTGCCACGTATCCGCTTGAATTATTGTTGATTTTGAATTGCATGCTTGAAATTTTCCCACAATTAGGACTAGGAGTAAAGTTTGAAAGTTTCATTTTAATTATCAAAGAGGAAGAAAACTTCACCGATTTATTTTAAGTGGTTATCTAGAATATTAGTGCATTCTCCTCGCATCATGGAAAATATACCAAGTTTTACCCAATGTAAAGTTTTAAGGCTGTGCGCAATGAATATATATATATATATATATATATATATATATATATATATATATATATATATATATATATATATATATATATATATATATATATATATATATATATATATATATATATATAATGAAAATTTTAAATTATAAGGAATGGATTTAATAGCTACTTAATTTATACGGTATAAACTGGGATGGAACAGTTTACGATTTTTTTATAAACCGCGAAGCGTATTTCTGTCCCAACCCAGTTTATACCGTATAAATTGGGTAGCCATTAAATTCATTCCTTAATTGAATTCAGAATAAAGTGCCCATGTTACATTGTGAATAAAAAGACTGCTCTGAAAATATATGTCCAATTACATCTGTAACTCATTTGTAGATGTATATATATATCATATATATTTACATTTAAAAAGTTCATCAGACGTTTTTATTGAGGGGGCACAAACATATAGTATCCATGTTTACTATAGTAATCTATATATCGGCAAAATTATTGGGGGGGGGGCACGGCCCCCCGTCCCCCCCCCCCGGTTCCTACGGCCATGTAAACATGTAAACACTGATTCCTTATATGTATAACAATCTTTGTAATTATATTTTTCAAATATCTAGTGTCGTTTGTTATTTTTAAATCTAAAGTTTAAAAAAATGACTACGTGACGGACATCATAAGTTAAATTATCATGTTCAACTTCACTTGAAATCAATTAAACGAAGAAAATGAACGTGTGCATCACAGTGCTGTGTGTTATCTCAAGGTAAAATATTAAACTCTGAAAGAGAAAAACCGAAAAAAAAAGGAAATTACACTGTATGACTTTGTTCTGGTATTTATATTTGTCAATTACAACTTTTAAAAGCATTATAGTAAAACCAGCGTTCAGTTTAATATATACGTTCTTCCTATTAAAATCTCCTAATTCATTTAACTGTTAATCAGCTGGGTTTTTTTCTTTTTAATATTTTTTTAAACATGGTGTTTACAACATATTCTATTTTATCAAAATATGTCCCATGGAACCAACGTCTTCATATTTTGCATTATTGCTGTACATGATCAATAGGTATTTTTCCCCAAACTAAGAAGATCAATTGACCACAAAATATAAGTTTACCTTTCTTTTATTTGTTTGGGATTTTAATCACCGATTTCTGTAATCAGTTCAGTGTTCTTTTTATCAATAAAAGGTCTTTCTAATTTTTTTTTTATTTATTTATTTTTAAAAATTGTATTTTTCTATTTCATATACCCTTAGTGGCGCCCCACGAATGATCGACAAACTTCGGAGTAAAGCGGAATCAACCGACCGCGCCATTTTCGCGGGTTTTGAAAACTTTGCAACGCGCATGAGCTAGTAATCGGAAGTAAACAAAAATCAGCAGTCTGACGAACGAATTGCACGTGGAAAAGTACGGTCTGAAAACTGTCAAAACCGACTGAAAATGTGGTGAAGCTACGAACAGATATTAATGTCATCGTTTGCACCAAAATTTTGGAAGCCTGGTAAATTTAAAAGTGCACTTGTCTACTTGTATTTGCCTTGGTCAAGAGCTTCTTTATTTTTTTAGGATTCACACAGGTCCGACACAATCACTACATTTAGCTACGTAGTTTGAATACCTACATAGCTTTATTTACCTACTTGAAGTAGTTTTATTTAGCTTCTTCGTCATACTTATGTCTTAAAGGAGAATTTTTGAAGAATGTACATAAAAATCACACTTTGATGCAGTGATCACCTAATGATGTTTTCAACTGTTCAACGTTGAACTGATCTGAAAACAATGCATGAAAAAAGTCACTCTTGAAGATGTCTCATTAGCGTAATTGCATTTAAAGTTCTGAAAGTTTTGGGGCTATATATATTCAACAGTTAAATTTGTGACCGAACAGTTACTTCTTGAATGAAATAAATTTGAAGAAGACCAGTTCTGGTTAACATGATAATTGATTGGTAATAATTAATTCAGCACAATGTGATGTAATCATACTTATCCATGCTTCAACGCACACAGGGTGCTGTACAGTTACTCAGTGGAAATGCATTTCAAAAGCAGTAATGTTTAACTATATCTGTGCTCTGGGTTGCTTTTTTAAAACTCCATAGTAGAAATAGTAGTAGTGCACATACTTGTGATTTTTTTGTCTAATTTAAATGAAAAGCAAACTTGTGAAAACTTGTTTTAAATAGGAAAATAAAGCTACTTCAAGTAGCTAAATAAAACTACGTAGGTAATTCAAACTACGTAGTTAAATGTAGTGATTGTACGAACTGGACCTGCTACAGACACTGATATCTGGAGATTGGTTCTGTGGTTGAGCTAGCTGGCAGCAGGCCACATTTATTATCTGTCCATGCTCTCCTTCACAAAAGCTCCACTCAAAGTTCACAACTTACACAATGGCATAATACCTAGGGTTAGCCTGTCTGCCCTGTCAGTTTAATAAAAATTAACATACTGTATACAGGGAAATTTTTGCCCCTTTCGCCTTATTCACAGGTGGGCGAATTTAAAACGGGGCAAATTCAAAGAACACAGTATAATTTCTTAAACAGAACTGTGATTGGGCGAATTTAAAATGAGGCAAAATTGCTTGCAAGTGTGAAAGCCTGGCATAAATAACACGGGGCTAAAATAACCCTGTATACAGTAGTCCACAATAAAATTCCTTTTGATTGAGAGATGGTAAAACTCTTTTAATATGAACAAGGATATATAGCCAATTCATGAAGTTTTTTTTTTGACCTCCAAAATTCTTAATAATTCTTTGTAAAATTTTATGGTTATAACAAACTCTGATATGACAAATTTACAGATATAGCGAAGTGATTTTGTGTCCATAGAGGTTAAAAATAATGAAATTTACATCTTTTATGATCTCAAAATTTAAAATATTAAACTTTCTTTTTTGTTAAGTATTAATATATGAAATTCTTCAGAAAGCATTAGATATCTAAAGTATGTTTTGTAGTTAATGCTTTTATTAACAAATTTGTTATATGGACATAAGGAATTAGGGATAAAGCCAAGTGATTTCACATTTCCCAGGACTTCACTATAACCAAGTTTTATTGTAATTAAGTGAGTGTGTCAAAATTTTATCCCCAGAGCCAGGATTTGAATTGATGATGCTCAACTAACTTCTGTCTTGCCATTGTGAGCGAATCTCCCTGACCACTACAATTCCAAGATAGTGATTTGAGTAATTTAATTCATGTCCACCTTTGCCTTTGTAAGGGTTGGACATGGTTACTCGGTTTCTGTACCGGACTGAGTAGTTGTTTCAAAATTACTGGTAAAATACCATTTTATTTACCGGGAATACTGGGAGCCAAATCAGTATATAATCCTTTTTCTATGTATATTTAATGCATTCAAGTACATTTTTTATTGTTTATACCGGTATGGTATTGTACCATTTCATCCTTAACAGTGTCCAACCCTTGTCTTTGTGTTCAGTTTAACTGAATATGTGTTCAATTAAGTATAGCCCTTTCATGCTTCTATTCTTGACAAAAAGCATAAGCAGCAAGTTAAGCTTCCAAGTAATTGTCAAGTTTTAAGGATAAACAGAAATGTTGTTACAGAATTATTACTCATAGAAACATATAATGGTAGTCAGACTCGCTTGTTTACCAGATACATGTAACTCTGATGGTGGAATAGCTTTCCAGTATTTTCTTGACCTGGCTATGTATTTTATTCTGGTCCATCACATTATCCCAGTTTTCTTTTTGCTTGAAAATATACCTCTTATGCTGTTCCTTGTAAAGTTGGGCAGATTTAACTTGCATCGATCATCTTTGCTAGCCAAGGGTTTCCGATCCGAAATCTACTCTACTAGAGTAGATTTCGGATCAGAAACCCTTGGCTAGCGAAGATGAACTTGCATAAGTATTCATTAAATCACAAGTCAATTAATTACTCCAGCATTATATTTTTAAAATATTTTTTTCCCTATAATTATCAGGTACTGAGGCCCCCGACCAGGCTATAAAGGAGGAGAGGAAAATTGTGGGTGAGGAAGGGGGGACAACTGTGGTGTACAACCAGAATGTATCTCTGTCCATAGAGCAACAGCGGCAAAAACTTCCAGTGTTTAAGGCATGAGAATTTGAAATACTGACATATCTGCAAACTTCTGAGTTCCAATTCTCTTGTTCATTAGCTCTCAATGAATAAAAAATTTCAAACTTGTTCTGGAAGAAGAACAATTAGATAAAGGTTGCTAATCTTGTAGTATGTATTTTCTAGGAATAATTATTTTGTGTGTTCAATAGTTGAGGAATCATATCCTGTATTTGGTGGAGAATTACCAGACTGTGGTGATTGTTGGAGAGACAGGGTGTGGAAAATCAACACAGATACCCCAGGTAGAGATTTATTTAAATTTCAATCCAGCAATGTACTGCATCACATTCAATGCTGAAGTCATAGACAGAGATCTTAAATTGCTTCAAAATATTTTTTCTGTGAAAAGAATAAAAAATCTGTATACAGATAAACTTCTGTAACTCAATATTGGCAGGACTGTTGGAAAATGTCGAGATATCCAGAGTGTTGAGATATCACAGTGAGACTCAACATCCAAGATTTCATTGCATACCAAAACATTGACAAGTTTATTATCTACATGAATTCAGAAATCAGTTATTCATCTTATTTTGAGCAATTTCTCTTTTATTAATATGTTTATTACAAAATCTAAGAAGTAATAAAAGTAAATTATCGACAAAATGTGTTCTTTCTCCACATAAAAAGTTTTCTAAATTAACTGAATATTTTCCATTCAGCATTCCAAATGTATCGTTTGCTTTTTGTCAGAACAGGATATGAAATGAGCTGTTGAAGCTTTAAGCCATCCAAAGTTGTTACCCTGGAGATGAAAAAGAAAACAAATACATATATTTTCTTATTTTATTTTAGAAAGAAAACTAATTTTAAAAACAAAGAAAAATTTAAAACATTTGTGTACTTGAACTAATGCAGTTATGTTACATATATGTTTGAATCACAGGTGTTGCAATCAATCACCATTTGAATGTGTCATTAATTGATTGGATTGTTCCCTACGGAATGTTTTTTCAACACAAAATATCATAAATTAAGCCTTTTAATTTCTGATATAATATATATCTGAATTGAATTCAACATGTTTTTATTCATTGTAATTCAGTTGCCTTTCTCAAATTAAAGTTATGATAGGTTTCAGTATAAATGAATGTCTGTATATATTCATTTATGCAGAATCATGAATTTATCATTGAGCAATCAACATCTGATTGAGAACCTAGGGTGCTTGGGATTCATTTACAAACTAAGTCTATAAAATTATGAGCAGTGTGCAATCAAAACATGGGTTGGAAAGGTGTGAATTTCTTACAATGTCAAGATGAACAGTTGTCCTTGCATGACGAATGACAATCTTACAAACTGTCAGGTTTTGCAAAGTAGAAAATTGCCCCGATACATCTACCGGTACCTGGGAAATTTTGCTTTTGAGACTGTAAATATACATCGAGGTAAGCGGGGTAGTCAACATTACCGAGGTGGACATATTCCAGGTATTGCAAATCATTTATATAGTAGATACTGCCAGGACAGTGGACGAACATTGATATATGCCAGGTTGTCGCCATCTCATGTCAAAATACTGAAGTTCACCTGTAATATGACATGATTGTCAATTTGATGAAGTCATGGCGGGTTCATAATCATATCAGTTTGAATGAAAATCACTGGAGAATTTTAGGATCATAGGTGCTTCCTGGGATAAAAATGTTAGTTTTTTAATGCTGTAATATGTACATGTGGTACATGTTTTGTAATTGCGCTGTTTCAGTACTTGTTAGAGGCTGGATGGGGAACAGAGGGACATACAATTGGAGTCACTCAGCCACGACGGGTTGCTGCTGTCATGGTCAGTGATTATGAATATGATTTATTTTGATCATGAATATTGAAGGAAAAAGGAGAAACTTGATGAACTTCTTTTGGAATTTGTCCTGATATTTATTTGCCTATTCTTATAGGTGGCAACACGAGTAGCAGAGGAGAGAGGTGCGCTGTTAGGGGATGAAGTAGGATACACAATTAGATTTGATGACACATCAGATCCTACCCGCACTAGAATCAAAGTAAACTAGTTTAAAATGCTCAACTACAAGATTTAGTTCAAGATCATAACTGCTAGCCTAGCTTCTAGGTTCTAGGTATCTAGCTCAATTGATGGACCACTCACCTAGCCACTAATTGTCAATTTCGAAAACAAATTTTTTTAGAAATTTATAATTTTGGAACAAAGTGTATTGAAATCAAGCAAAAATGTCTGTGTAAATAAACATTAAATTCCATAGCATGGAGAAAATAACTCCATTTTATGTAAGTATGTCGTGAGATGTGAAACTAACTAAGGTGGCCATCTTTGATTTGCTACCCAGTGATTTTTCCACATTTTTAGCTCACCTGAGCTGAAAGCTCAAGTGAGCTTTTCTGATCACCCGTTGTCCGTCCGTCCGTCTGTAAACTTTTCACATTTTCAACTTCTTTTCAAGAACCACTGGGCCAATTTTAACCAAATTTGAAACTAAGCATCCTTGAGTGAAGGGGAGTTTAAATTGTTAAAATAAAGGGCCAAACTCCCTTACAAGGGGAGATAAACAAGAAAAGACAAAAATAGGGTGGGGTCATTAAAAAACCTTCTTCTCAAGAACCACTGGGCCAGAAAAGCTGAAACTTAGGTGGAAGCATTCTGGGGTAGTGTAAATTCTAAATTGTTAAAATCATGACCCCCGGGGGAAGGGTGGGGCCACAATAGGGAATCCAAGTTTTACATTGAAATATATAGAAAAAATCTTTAAAAGTCTTCTTCTCAAGAACCACTGGGCCAGAAAAGCTGAAACTTATGTGGAAGCATTCTGGGGTAGTGTAGATTCTAAATTGTTAAAATCATGACCCCCAGGGGAAGGGTGGGGCCACAATAGGGAATCCAAGTTTTACATTGAAATATATAGAAAAAATCTTCTTCTCAAGAACCACTGGGCCAGAAAAGCTGAAACTTATGTGGAAGCATTCTGGGGTAGTGTAAATTCTAAATTGTTAAAATCATGACCCCCGGGGGAAGGGTGGGGCCACAATAGGGAATCCAAGTTTTACATTGAAATATATAGAAAAAATCTTTAAAAATCTTCTTCTCAAGAACCACTGGGCCAGAAAAGCTGAAACTTAGGTGGAAGCATTCTGGGGTAGTGTAAATTCTAAATTGTTAAAATCATGACCCCCGGGGGAAGGGCGGGGCCACAATAGGGAATCCAAGTTTTACATTGAAATATATAGAAAAAATCTTTAAAAATCTTCTTCTCAAGAACCACTGGGCCAGAAAAGCTGAAACTTATGTGGAAGCATTCTGGGGTAGTGTAGATTCTAAATTATTAAAATCATGACCCCCAGGGGAAGGGTGGGGCCACAATAGGAATCCAAGTTTTACATTGAAATATATAGAAAAAATCTTTAAAAATCTTCTTCTCAAGAACCACTGGGCCAGAAAAGCTGAAACTTATGTGGAAGCATCCTTGGGTAGTGTAAATTTTCAAAATTATGACCCCCGTGGGCAGGGCGCGGCCACAATAGGGAATACAATTTTTATATTGAAAGATATAGAACCACTTGGTCAGAAAAGCTGAAACTTATGTGGAAGCATTTTGGGGCAGTGTAAATTCTAAATTATTCAAATCTTGACCCCTGGGGGTAGGGCAGGGCCACAATAGGGAATCCAATTTTTACATTGAAATATGTAGGAAAAATCTTTTAAAATTTTCTCCTCAAGAACCGCTTGGCCAGTAAAGCTGAAACTTATATGGAAACATCCTGGGGTAGTGTAGATTTTAAATTTTAATTAGCAATATCATTGTAATTTCAATTAGCAATATCATTGTAAGTACCTAGTAAGTTAATGAATTATATCAAAGAAGTAATGCATACAAATTTCATCTTTTGTATTACATCTCTTTAACACTTTAAAATGATCAAATATTATCTTTAAGTCACACTGACCTTTCTTTTTTCAAAGAAGAGTACAAGTTCAATTCAGACCTGTCGAAAACCATTGGTCCTGTTGGCAAGGCTGGTAAAAATTCGTCTGGACTGGTCTGGACTGTTAATTTTCAAATTTTAAATTACCGTATATACTCGCCTATAAGTCGGTCCGCCTATAAGTCGGTTGTGATTTTTGAGGTTATTTTGGAGGTTTTTGCCATTGACCCGCCTATAAGTCGGTACAACTTTTTGCCAGGATCGGTGGACAATTTCAAATCAATGCTCTACTGTTCTTACATGTGTTTCAAATAATATTTTGAGAAACTACGCCGATATTTTATCTCTCTTTTGTCTTCTCTTATAAATTTCATATCAATAATCTAATGTATTTACCTGTGTTCAAATAATATGTTAGGATATGACATCGGTAATTGATATTTTTATTTTTCAACAAACAAAACCACTACCATTTTCGTTTTCTTTTTAATACTGTTTTGTTTAAGCGTTAAATTCCTTGTCTTGTATATTTTATACACCGATCTCGATCATAGGCGGATCTCGGTCTCTTTGGCATGGTGAAGAACTATGTAACGAGGCTAGTAACATTTTGATGATATTTAATTAGGAGGTGCTCAATATCCAAGCCATATCTATTGTTTTTAATAACGCTATGTTTGATCTTTTATCAGCAATTATTGTCTCTTAATCAGTGTTAATTACCTGTATCCCTTAACTGAAAACGTGTTTATTTAGTGGCATGCGCCCCGAGAAAATCGTGTACTACACATCGGAAGCATTATCATAAACAATCGAGTTTTAATAGCCCCAGAATAATATTCTGAATTATTTTTTAAGAATATTATTTCTGTTGTCTAAAACATTGCAGACGGTACATATAATTATACATTAATGCTGAACGTATTACTGGTATATCGGGTTCGCAATTCAATTTTACCGAAAAACGATAGATTTACAGTAAGTCACAAGTTAATTAGAGAAATATTTTTGTTTATAATTAATCAAATAAATAATATACACTTAAGATCAAAATAAAATCATTAAAACATGTAAATACTTGTACTTTATATATAATCTTAGAATACATAAATAATATAATATGTTCAGACATTTCTCAACGATAATCGTCGAAGTTATGTTAAAAATACTACATTTCGTCGTCTAGAAAAATACCAAGCTTTTGATGACTCGCCTATAAGTCGGACATAGAGTTTTGGACCAAAAGTTAAATCCCAAAAAACCGACTTATAGGCGAGTATATACGGTAGTCCAAATCTGTTTGAAAAAATCTAGTGTGATGCAATTTTTAAAAAGATCAGGATAGGGATGCACAGGTAAAGGTCACAAAAACGGCAGAGGTGGCTGCATACTGATGATGGTCCATTAAAACTTGTTACAGCAAAGACAGAAAACGTGACATTTATGTCTTTGATTTAAGACTATCTATCCCAAGAAAAGAAACATATGAGATGGAAGGCTGTTGAAAATAATAAAGGGCATTTTGGTGCAGTTATTTATTTTCCTTTCTCTGCATCAAAATAAGGTACATGTTAAGTTTTTGGAGCAGGTCCATTACCAAGAAACTATGATGGCTATCTGAACCAAACTTGCATGGATGATGCTTCACAGGATGAACACTCTCAAACTTGCTCAGATGCTGGACTTGACTTAACATTTTCTGGATGAGGGACTAGTTTAAAGTTTTTAAGTAAGTTCATTCCCAAGTAACTGCAAGCCCTATCAGACCAAAGTTACGTCTAGGAATGCACACTACTAGATTATTAGTTTGGGACTTTGCCTTACTTAAAAACAACATTTGTTGAGGTGAGCTCTGTAATCTCCGATTACCTATGTTTAATATTTTTTTTTTACAGTTTTTGACAGATGGTATGATGATTAGGGAAATAATGGAAGACCCACTGCTGAAGAAATACAGGTATGGAATGGTACCTTAGCTAATTAGCTCTCCCTACATTTGATTTTAGCTAGAGGTTTGACAAAGCACAAATATGTATTTTTATACCCCCTGCAAACGAAGTTTAGGGGGGGTATATTGGAATCAGCATGTCCGTCTGTCTGTCCGTCTGAGTCTGTCTGTAGACGAGATTTTGTCCTGACCATTTCTTGGAAACTGTTGGAAGGATTTGTCTGAAAATTTGTACACTTATTATTCGCCATATGAAGGTGTGCACCTGGTATTTTCATTATGATTGGATAATTTTTCTGCATTTTACAGGTGTTTTTTCATTTTTATTATTTGGTTTTGTCTGGATCTGTTCCCAGAAACTATTGCATAGATTTGTATGAAAATTTGTACACTTATTATTTACCATATGAAGATGTGCACCTGGTATTTTCAACATTATTTGATAATTTTTCTGCATTTTAGAGGTGTTTTTTTTTAAATTTTTATTGACTTAGTCATTTCGGGTTCATGTCTAAGGTTTGAGACATAGAATCTAGAACACCTGTACAAAAATGTGAACTACAGCTTAAAACTACTCATTAGAACTAAAAAAAAACCCCACAAAGTATTAAAAACAGTTTTTACATTACACAGCAGATAGTGTAAATCCATTTGTCCCTTGGGAGTAATGAGTGGACATGCATCCAGTTAAAGATTAATTAATGAGTTCAGTGTGGGAAGCTGTTAGGGCATCTCTGATCAGGCAGGTCTTATCTATATCTCCGGGGAATTGGGCAGAAAGAAAGAAAGATCTCTGTTGTCTAAGTCTCTTAATTGTTATTTATGTCTGTCAAAATACATAGTTACTAAAACCAGCCTTTTATTTTTAAAATGAGTTTGATATAAAGGTATTAAAATCAATTTGATTTTGTATAATTAATTATGATATTTTTTTTTTTTCAACAATCAATTTGCAGAGTGTCATGTCTCACAAAGATGACAGATAGTTGCAAACTATTTTTTCAATGTAATAAAAAACACTGTAATTATTAGTGTTGATATTTTATTAGGCTGCACCTTAGTTTCATTCATTAAAATAAAGTGCCCCACCACAGCATTATACGCCCATCAAATATTGTTAAATTATCATAAACAGTTTAGATTCAATTGGTCGAATGACATCTTAGTGAGACAAGGCAGTCTGCAATTTGTTGTAAAGATATAAAAATTCAAATAAAAAATGTACAATAAATAATTAGTTTAAATTATATTATACAATATCATATAAGTTTTAATTATTTTAAACAATATCAAATTAGTTTTAATTACATCAAATTTATCTTGAAAGTAAGACTAGCCAACAAGAACAATTCAATACAACACAAGCAATTAATTAAGAGACTGATTCCTTTTGCCCATTTCCCAAGAGATGTAGATAACACCTGCTTGATCAGAGATGCTCTACCAGTTATCACCTCACACTAAACTCATTAATTTATCTCTAATTTGACATGCAATTTTCTGCTATCAAAATTTTCCTTGACCAGTGCCTGATCATTACACCCATGGGAGAGGTGTAATTTTTCTTGTTACAGATTGCTGTAAAGAACATAATGAAAAAAATAAGACTAAATAATAAGCCGGACATGAAAAAGCTAACAGAGGGACATGAACGCTATAACATAATACGTCCCGTCTTAAGACGGACATATAAAAAATATAATGAGTAATTAAATTTTCACTGGAAATGTTTAAGGAAATTGTGAACACATCTCACATCTAGAAAACATTAGTGATTTGGTACTTTCTCTGAAAAACCCAGCGGGGGGTATTTGTCCCTATTGGACAGTTCTAGTTGAATTTATAATTTTTTTCTTTCCATTTTTCAGTGTGGTTATGTTGGATGAAGCACATGAAAGGACTCTAAATACAGACTTGATTATGGGACTTTTACGAAAGGTTTGATTTTATGAACGATTCTGATCTGACATAAGCCCAATAACTTAAGCTGTCAGCTTATTAAAGAATAGAATTAATTTCTGATGGGATTTAAAGATGTTTCTTGCTAATTGTTTATTGTTATAATGTAAAAAAAAAAAAAAAAAATACACATTTTTTTCTTATGTTTTGAATTAATTATTATGATTTTTTTAAAATTATTATTATTATTATTTTTTTTTTTTTTTGATGCAGATTCAGAAAAAGAGAGAAGATCTCAGGATAATCGTTGCTTCAGCCACACTTGATGCAGAGGTACAGTCTTACATTTATAATGAAAAGTTTTCATCCATTTTATTTTGATTGGTCACAAGAGTTGTGCCCCATTATTCTTTAAATGTGCCTTGCATTATGTAGAGACTCCAGGGTTGTTCCTTAGAATTGAAATAGAAGAGGACATTTAAAAAGTATAAGGGGATTTTTGGTTCCACCCATGGTGGGGAGTTTAGGAGGAATATCAAAATAACCTGCGGGATAACATCATTATAGGGAGGGAAAACTTTTTAAAACTCTACAAGTTAAAGTTAGATTGAAATTTTATTCATGAGCATCATATGTTGTTTGATATTAACCAGGATCCAGTTGCACAAACGTTAGTTAAATTAACTTCCAGTTAGTGTAGTAACTAGCTGTTAAATTTTTAACGACAAGTTACGTCACTGTCAGTTAAAAATTTGTTGTTCGAAAGTCTATTAAAAATAAATTAGCTAACTCACATTAAATTGATGTCTTTTAGTTAACTTTCTGTTAAAATCGTTCTACACACGCATTTCCCTTAAATATGATGAAATATTTCTGATGTCATAATCAAAATGATGTCAATTCATAAATGCTAAGGTTATTTACTTTAAATATTAATTTCTTATATTGGTAAAATATATTAAATATGTATTATTAAAGATAATTACTTCAAATATGAATTCTTACGTTGAAAGATAGTCATTTTACATGCATATAAACAATGCAATTACAAAGTATGTATTCAGTATTAAGTTCTAACATGAGGCATTGATTTTTGGGAGGGAAATTGAAAATAATAAAAAAAAAAAACTCTTAAAAAGTGGGAGGGGAACACCACCACCCCTCCCCGTTTTATATGCCTTAAGTTTGAATTGAACGATTAACCTTCATTTCAGTAACTTGTCTGAGGTTAAGATTTTTTTAAAATGATGATCATTTTGATAAAATATAATGACATTTATTGTATGCATAATCGGATAAAAAAAGTACCTACATCTCCACTCATATGGAATGATTTCATCTTGTTGTTCTTTGCAGATAATATCTCAACATATATCTGCAATGTATAATACAATCTTGCCTAAATTGAAATTGGGATTAAATTTGCATGTTGCTCAAGTCAGACATTTCTATTATCTCTATAAGTTCTTCCTTCCACGCAAACAAGTTCTGAAATGATAACAATTCCGTGATTTTGATTTTAATGCTTAATAAAATATTTAATGTACGTAGGTAACCTCAGTTAAATCTGTTAGTTAAATCAAAAACTTAATTAGGCTTTAACTGTTAGTTAACTTTCGTGCAACCGGTTTAACTCACCGTTAAATTTAACGTCGGGTTAACGCAAAGTTAATGGCCAGTTAAATTTAACTAACGTTCGTGCAACCGGATCCAGAAAAGGTGATTCATGTTAAAATCTAATGCAAGTTTTGGCTATGAATAGGATTTTTTTTTTCTTGTTTGCTGTTAATAGGATTTATTTCTTTTTCTAAGGAGATGAAAGACTTTTTCAATAATAACAACTCAGGAAATTCTAAGTAAGTTCTGTTGTATTACTGCATATTGAAAAGTGAAACATTTAGCAAAGAACACCCTTAAAAAAAAACAAAAAAAAACACACATTAAAGAAACATTAAAGAGCTAGATACAAGATGTGGGTAGATTGGCACTGGAAATTTGTAGTGAATACAAAATATTTTAAAAATGAATAATGCCACAAATGTATTTTCTTACAGAAAATGTAAAATCAATAACTATTTTTTCAGAAATGTGTATATATATGTACATGATGCAATTATTGTAATGATTGTAGACTGCTGTGTTGAAGATATATTTTGTGTTTGCAATATATGGGATTTGGAATTAATACCTTTTGAATTGATTTTTTTACTCAGCAAAGACACTGCTGCTATACTGAGTGTGGAAGGCAGAAATTTTCCAGTGGATATCCATTACACTATGGAGTAAATATTTCATACATTATACACTGTATAGTTATTTAGAGAGAAATGTCACCAAAATCATAAACAGTCTTGAAGAGCATAACTTTTTGGAAAATGAAAAGATCAGTAGGGGGTGTGATGAAAAAGGAAGTAAATATGTAATACATGTATCAAAATTTAGAAACATTTTATAAAGCTTTTCAGAGGCACCTGCTATGATTTTAAAATTTGGAATAACTTCCGAGTCTCTCTGGTCATCCCACTAATATTTTACGAAATGTAAAAGTTAGGAACCTGAAATCTAGTATGTGTATGTCACAAGATAGTTGAAAAAAATATTAGTTTCTATGTGAGGTTCTATGTGAAGTAGGCCTTCTTCTCAAGAATTTATACATTGTTGAAATACAGCTTGAGAGATATTAAGACATTGAGATATTAAGCTTGTTTGTTGGTTCTCACAGTACCTGTTATAACATACAAGGCTGAATTACCTTGTGACCTGGAATTATCCATGACCTACTTTTCAACAGTACATGTATTTTGACTGTGTCAGTATTCTGTAGTATAATTATTTTAGCAGTTATCATATTTTAGCAGCTTCTGTTCATTTACAGAACTATGGATTTTGAGAAGTAGTGATTTGATATGTAGTGTCAATAGTGCTTGTTACGAAAACATACCCCAAAAAATATTATTTTGACCTTAATATTTTGATTTTCTCAAAATGTTTCCTGAGATGCAAAGATTACTCATAACCTTGACCTTAGTTTCTGTATATCATTTTTTTTTAAAATGTGGACAGTATTTATTGAATAATGAAAATGTTATTTTGATAAAAAGCATGTGTATTGCTTGTTACAGTATCTATTTAAAAGAGTGTCAGGGATTGCTATCTGGCCTTGACTTTTACTTTTAGCTACTTCAAAAAAATCTCCCTTTTAGTTGTTGAACCATTTGAGATCAGTGTTTTATAGATAGAAAATATATAAGATTGGTAAAATATCAGAATCACTGATTTCATGACCTTGACCTTTGATATACTTTAAAAATCAAACTGTCCAGTAATCTTGGACCTGGGAGAGGAAGGGTTTTTGTATCATGGAAGATTAACAATGATTAAATAACTTCAGTTCATCCTTCTCTCATACTCCATGCTACTTAGGTGGCACATTCCCTCTAACCTTTTTTTCTTTCTTTCATAGCCCAGTTCCAGATTATCTGAAGGCCACAGTGGAGACTATCACTAAGATTCACCACCAGGAGAAGGAAGGGGATATACTGGCTTTCCTTACTGGACAAGTGAGTCTGATTACCTCCCTTCTTATTTTAAAACCTTCGTTGTGTTCCGTGATTTTTTTAAATTAAATGTCCTTTCTCCATTTTAAGAAGTTGGTTACAGTATCTTAGAATGCAGCTCTGTTTTCTGTAGAAGTAGGGAATCTATCCATTTTCTCTTAAATTTGAGTTTGACTGTGTGAGAAATTGGATACACTTAGAGTTTGAAGTACCGGTATTAATTAATACTCTGTATCCAACGATTTTTTCTACCCATTGGGAATGGGTCCAGTACCGATTCAATTGGGAAAAATAGCTTCGAAATAGAACAAACGGAAATTTTCTGTCATGTCAACATATGAAATTTATTTTGCATTTATTCTAACCTTATTATCTATTAATTCATGCTTTAAAGAATAACCAACAAGTATTCATTGTTTTACATAATTCAAGTTGTCAAAAATGTAAGACACTACCATGACTGTGCTGTCAACAACATGTCCCACCATATTACCACTGATCTCTACTTTCAATTTAAGAAGAAGTTAAACATTTAGTTAACTCATACAACATTTCATATGAAAAGAATTACGATGTCATCGTAGTCTGTTCCTCAGGAGTTGCATTGGGAACTTTTAGTCTCAAAATTGGGAATGCTTTTTGGCATTGGGAATGGTATTGTTTACTGGTATCAGTTGTATACGGGAAAAAAACGCTGGTATCTTCTGCACTAGTCTTTGAGGGTGTTGAGAAAAAATCTATGTAATTATTTTCTCAATAAGTTGCTAGATAAAATATATAGCAAGTAACTACAAATGTATATGTACATTGCATCTTGACCAAACTTGCATGGATAATGCTTTTAGACATATTTAAGATGCTGCAAGCGATATGTACATGTATTTTAGGTATTTTTAGTTGTACATGGAGAAGCCTGTAATGATGAATTTACGTATAACTAAAAAATGGATTTTACTAAACATTCATTCAGTGCGAGTCATTGCCTTTCTTGTAGATATTAAGCAGTCCTGCCCTATAAGTGCTCTTGAGCTATTTTCTCATTATTAGAGATTAAGGGCTCCTTTTTATTCTTTCTACTTCAAAACTGATATAAAATCAAAATATGAAGTTGATTATAGCTTCAGTGTTTGTGACAGTGCAAGTCAGATACAATCTGAAATAATATTTTTTATAAATTCAGGAATCTTTGAATAGTGGAAATATAAAATCTGATACTGATAAATTATATAGTAAAGAGTTGGTGTTGAATGCATGGAATGAAATTTATTAGCTTGTGATTACCTGATATATATGGTGCTTAAATTTGACACCTGAGTAACTTTATGACCAGAATTTTAACCTTGTGTGATTTTTTTTACCTGTTGAGCTAAGCATATGAGCATGCAAGTCAAATAAAGTTTTTAAGGGGACGAAGTCCACTTAATTATGTTGATATTACTTTTTATTGATAATAATCAAATATAACTCTGTATTTTAGTCAAATGTATATGAACTTTTTAGTACACTGTGTAATTGATAATATAAGTTTTCCTTGATAAATTAAGATTTATGGATGCACATCTCATTTATTACCTGTGAAAGTTAAAATATATGGACTTCTCAAGGTCCATAAAATTTTATCGATGCATACTTTTGACCTAATCCTTGTTGTTGAAATTCTGTATGCTCTTTTTCCTGTACGAAATTGTGGTACATATGTCAAAATTGATATTGATAAAGCATATATAAGCACAAAATGCACATATTTATAATATTTCAATCATCCCTGATTGGTTTGCAAAAAAATTTTAATGAGGCATACGACACAATAGATTAGAAAACTGGTAAACAGAATATTGTTGTACATTTAAATTGTATACGTGGTAAGATGGACTTGATACAAGGATTGTCAAAATTCTCTGAAGACTGTTAGGCTGTTGACTGACAGAGTTCAAGGTCTTGTTAGTCTGTATAAGTATCTCTCAGACCACATGTTTATTTTTGATGGCTCAATTAATATTGAAGTATATTGTGAAGTAATTACAACTTTAATTAACTAGAAAGAGAGTTCTTGAATGGGATCAAGCCTTGATTTTAACAAGAAATCTGTTTCACTGCTTGTTAAAATGAAGTACCGTAAATCTGGAAATTTTTACATCGATTTATCATTGCGAATCTGGGTCAAAAAGGTGTTGATTAATTTTTACGTTTTAAAATTTTGCGAATTGTCATTGGCGCTAAAAACAAGAGGCCCATGGGCCTTGAATCGCTCTTCTGATAAACTGTACAACCTATCACTTCTATTTGAAGCCTCAAAGTATCCTGTATATTTACATAAACCCTTGAAATTCCAATTCACACTCTGAGAACCCAAGATGATTCTAAGCCAATTAGTGCCTGAGAGTTGGTCATGGTGACCTACTTATCACTTGTCATTCTCTGAGGACCCATCAACTAAGTTTGATGATTCTAAGCCAATTAATACCTAAAATATTTTTTAAAATTATAATCATAAAATTTTATAAGTAGGTCAAAGTGACCTACTTTTCAGTTGTTTTACTCCAAGGACCCAAGATGCATCAACTGACAAAGTTTGATGATTCTAAGCCAATTAGTACCTGTAATATTTAATTAAAGCCATAAATTTTCAAAAGTAGGTCACCGTGACCTACTTTTCAGTTGCTGTACTCCGAGGACCAAAGATACATCGACTCACAAAGTTTGATGATTCTAGCCAATAAGTACCCAAAATATTTAATTACAGCCATAAATTTTCAAAAGTAGGTCACAGTGACCTACTTTTCAGTCAACCTACTCCGAGGACCAAAGATGCATCAACTGACAAAGTTTGATGATTCTAAGCCAATTAGTACCCGAAATATTTAATTAAAGCCATAAATTTTCAAAAGTAGGTCACGGTGACCTACTTTTTAGTCGATCTACTCTGAAGACCCAAGATCCTTTAAATGACAAAGTTTGATGATTCTTAGCCAATTAGTACCCGAAATATTTAATTATCGCCATAAATTTTCAAAAGTAGGTCACTGTGACCTACTTTTTAGTCGACCTACTCTGAAGACCCAAGATGCATCAACTGACAAAGTTTGATGATTCTAAGACAATTAGTACCCGAAATATTTAATTAACGCCATAAATTTTCAAAAGTAGGTCACTGTGACCTACTTTTTAGTCGACCTACTCCGAAGACCCAAGATGCATCAACTGACAAAGTTTGATGATTCTAAGCCAATTAGTACCTGAAATATTTAATTATAGTCATATAAATTGAAAAGTAGGTCACGGTGACCTACTTTTCAGTTGACCTTTTTTGAGGACCCAAGATGCATCAACTTACAAAGTTTTATGATCATAGGACTTAAAATGTCCAAATTATGCCTCTAAAATGCTTTGAAATCGAATGCCTGCAAAGTTCAAAAAGTAGGTCACTGTGACCTACTTTTTAATAAATATGTTTTATGGCCCCAAGATGCATCATCTTACAAGATTTAATGATTCTAAGCCTCCCCGTATTCGAATTAATGACCTTAATTGTTTTAAAAAAGATTAGCCATAAAATTCAAAAAGTAGGTCAAGGTGACCTACTTTTTAGTTGACGTACTTTGAGGACCCAAGATGCATCAACTGACAAAGTTTGATGATCATAGGCCTTAAATTGTTCAAAATATGCCTCTAAATCATTTTGAAAAAGAATGGCCGCAAAATTTAAAAAGTAGGTCACCATGACCTACTTTTGAGTCAACATGATATGAGGTCCTTAGATGCACCAACTGACAAGATTTGATGATCCTAGTCCTTATAGTAAGCAAAATATCAACATTTTAATAAAATGTAATTTTTGGTCAACTTTGAAGTGACCTTGAGACCACGCCCTTTGCCCCAGGGTAAATCCCCGTGCAAATTTTAATCTACAATATATCCTCATCCTTTTGTGTAAGTTTGGTGATAATCTGCCCAGTGGTTCTTGAGAAGAAGATTTTTTAGCAACCAGTACTTTTGTTTCTATTTTCCTAATTATCTCCCCTTGTTAAAGGGTCACAACCCCAGTTTTAGTATAAAAGGGAGCCCTTGGGCCAAGGATACCCTGTGACAAATTTGACAATAATTGGCCAAGGGGTTCTTGAGTTATGGCCCATATTCTAAAAAGTTTACGCACACCGCACAAATGGCCATAGCATTAGCTCTTTGAGCCTTTGGCTCAGAAGAGCTAATAAAAAGCTCTTAAAATTTTTATAACGTACATTTTATAAGTTACAGATGTGCATACAATGAATTATGCATGTACATACAATCACATTCCTTTCGTCGGGGTTTCATTATACACGAGAGTAAGTTCTTCGTTAACTATCTGTCGTGCTAAGAATTCGTTGTTAGATAAAATAACTGGTCTTTCTTTGTTAGAGAAATGATTTAAAAGAGACATACTGCCCAGTCAAACAATCGGACGATATTGAATGTAGTTAATGCATGGATTATCACGGATAATTAGCCTGTAGTATGAACAGATATTCACGGGGTTAAAAAAAGACACCGGTTGTCAGAAAAATTTTTGTTTACATTTTTTGTTGTTTATTTATTTTTAAGAAAAATATTTTTGCGAATGCAATGCACTCGCAAATTTGCTAAAAATTTATCTATAGTAAAATTTTCCAGATTTACGGTATTTCCATCTCTGAGGAAGTAAGGAGATGTCACATTCAAATCAACCAGAGTAAAATATTTGTCTTTCCATGTGTACCGTGTAAGAAGACAAATTAAACAGGGAGAAAGTATCTAATTACATGTAATACATTGTTTTTAGATCACCTGAGTCACTCAGGTGACCTATTACTATCTGTTTTTATATAAGATGAAAACTAAGAGTACAGTTTAATTGCTTTGCTGAAAGTATTTATTTGAATATTTGCAATATCACATTCAACATTTGACATTTTTATACTGTATCTATATCACCTTATTTTTGCGATACCTTATTTTTGTGAGACATTTAATTATTTGATATTTATAAGTGACAAAAAATTTCAGGAATGTTAGTTATTGTTACATATAATCATTAATAAACAAGAATTATTTAATCAAATATAGGCAAGAATGAAATTTTTATGATCAGACAGTCTCACTTAATTACACAAAAATAAAGTTCTCGCAAATAAAAAGTGATTTAATCTGTTTCACAATACAAGCAAATAGGAATTGTGATACATGTATATTGTACAGTATTAAAAAATATATGTATAACTATATATGGCACTAATCTTTAGCACAAAAAATAAATGCAAACAACATTCAACATTACTAATTAATTTGTCCATGCATGTTCTTCATGCTTGTTCATTAAAAAAATTTGCAAAATATAATAAACTGTGGCTCTTTAGCCCAAAGGAAAAAATACAGTTGGATTTTATGAATGAAATAAATTTTTAATACAAAGGTAATACAAAGATAAACATTGCACTGAATACATAAACACCAGAGAGTAATCAAAAAAATAAAACCTGAGTAAAATGATTGGGTAAATACTGTTGATGAAAATAAAGGTCACACAATTTTACTGTAAGTAATTTCACAAACACAACCGACATTAAATCATCATGTTGCTTCCCAAATTTTGATTTTTGTAAAAAGAAGCAAGCCAACATATTTTGATTATATGGTACGTAATTTCATATGAATATGAACTTGTATAAAATTTGAATTTCATAAGATGCTATTGAATATGAATTTTCTAATAGCCACTGAGATGCTTATATAACACAGCTATAGATGCTTGCCACTAGTCTTCTTATTGATCCTCTTGTAATCCTGGTTATAAATCTGTCTCTCTTAATCTCTCTGCTGTAATCACCTGATGAGTGCTGCCAGATAAATCAGAAAATCTTAGAAGAATTAAAAGTATGGCACTGATGTAATAATTCAAATATCTTTATCAAGTCGTTCCCATGGTAAACAAAAAAAAAATCCTTGAGCAAAATAACATTAAAGAAAAAACAACATTTAAACTGGTTTCTGGTTTCAACTCTTCCAAGTTTTAGATCCTGGTGATCATGAACAACTCCACTGAGGAACAGCCTTGGTCTTGGTATCTCTTAGAGGCTGTCTCTTTTGTTAACTCCTCAACCTTGAATCCTTTCCCAAAGCCTTTTTTCAAGTCCTCGGTTGTCATGCTCCATGGAACATCGCTAATAGACTTGTCAAAGTTGACAAATTCAGTCAGGTTCACGCACCCCTTCCCCATCACCGTTCGGATTCTGTGAATGTAGGCCTCCCTGTCTTCAACATCCATAGAATTAAGGCCACCGCTATCCCATATCCCATCAAATTCTCCACATATGTCCACAGTAAGATGGAAAAAATCACAGGAGTAAATTACAATTTTGTGATCTAAGCTTTCATACTTCTCCCCTCTGATGGCCCCAATGTCTGAGACTTGATAAGGAATGTGATTCTCATCGAAGAATGCCTTGCAAGGAACAGGTGCTACCTCCAATCCCACCACTTTATATCCATGATCCACCAACCATTTCATCTCCACTGCTTTTCCACACAGAGGCACAAATATTCTCATACCAGGCCTTGTTAGCATTCTTTTGTGATATTTTAGGAACAGTTCATTAAGATCTGGGTTGTGGAAGTCGACATCAGAGGTATTCCAACACTCCTTCCACATCCCCACTGTCATCTTCTGTTGAGGGTATTCATGGTGCGCCATGTTGAGTCTTCTCTATGCTTTTGTATGTGTGTTGATATATGAGGGCACTTCAGGTCATTCATGCATGCCTTGTATAAGGGGGCCACAGAGAGGGTATTTTTTCATTTTCTTTTAAATGGCTTTTAGTATTTTGTAAATACTGCTGATGAACTTGTACAAGAAAAGGAAAAGGAGGAGAAATATTCTTTTGTGCATTTTTTAAAAGTTAAAAGTAAAAAATTAAAGATATGTAGAAAACACTAAAGCGAGAACTGTGCTTAATTCCAAAAAAAGGTTCTGTACAGTGAAAACTTAGTTTTTAACATGCCTGTAATAGCATTAAGGCTGTTATTTGTTCAAAAGGGGAGCAACTAAGTACTTCAAAGTAAATTGTTAGTATATTTATAAAGACTTGAATAAAATTGCAAAACTTTTTATATTTTTTGCTTGCATCTTTGTCAAGTAGCAATATCTTTATTTCCAAAATGTGCATTTTATTAGTTAATTCACAAAAGCATTTAAGGTTAGAAATTCAAGTTTTTTGAGCTGTATATTATGCCTTCTAGATATAGTATACACTTTCAGTTTCTAAAATGCTATGTAAATTTAGAGATATGTAGAGACAATTAGGCTAAAACACGTAAGTGTCTTTATGTACATACTGATTGCTGTAAAGTATTCACAGTTGATATTGCATGCAATTGTACTAAATTTATCAATTCTTGTAGGATGAAGTTGAAACTGTGACAAGACAATTGATGTAAGATCCTTTTTAATAAGATCAAATTTTAGATAACAAAATTTTTGACAATAAATATACAAGAAAACCTTATGGGCAAATAGAAATTCTAGAATGATTCACAGATAATGCCTCACTATCAAAGCAAAATACCAGTAATCCAACCAGTTCAACATCTGACATAGTGGATTAAAGGAAATTATGAAGTTGTCAATCATTTTTATTATACTTTCATGTTAAATACTAAAATCTGATTGGTTTAGACACATTTAACAATCCGTAATATTACCCTCAGCGTTAGCAACACACTTGACAACGGGTAACATTACGAAAATATCACATGCGTTCAAATCATGCGCGTACGGTTCACCGTAGAATTCTCAAAACGTCGGTTGTGTGTTTGAAAGAAGCCGAATAAACGACGTCAATAAAAGCTTGCGTCCGATGAAGCTTACTTGAAAAAGACAAACGACAGACGAAACATCCTTGCGAGTGAAAACTTTAGGTGATAAAGGACTTTTTGAGTAGCAAACAAATAATAAAGAGGTTGGTAAATCTTTTACGAAGCTTTCCTATTGAGAAAATAGAAGCGGGGAGTTTGAAAGCTTTCTTAGCTTGAAGTTAACGACGATCTCCGAATTTTTTTATGACATCCGAAATCAATAAGACATTCAGTATAATAAAATAAAAAGTGCACGTTTTTGAGGGTAACAGTTGAAATTGACACCCCTCGAAAACCATTGTCAACCTTCGCTGACGTGTCGGTTGACAATGGTTTTCCTTGGGGTGTCAATTTCAACTGTTACCCTCAAAAACGTGCACTATTTATATAATATACTATGAATTTTAGCTTGAAATAGTTCCACTTAGAAAAAAAGGATATTTTTTTTTCTTTTATATATATGAGAGACATTAATATTTCTTATATAGAGATGTAGCTAAGGAGTGTATTAGGACCCAGGCAGCCATGAAGATGAAGGTTTTACCCATGTATGGTAGCCTACCGGCCTCAGAACAGGTACAGTCTGTATGTAATACATATGATATTTGTTTGAGTCTTGAAAAAGGGTATGCATGAACAAATGTATAATTGAATTTATACCTCTCTTTATATCCTCAGTCCCCTACAAATTAAGTTCGGGGGAGTACAGTTTCTATGCCCCGCTATAGAGTGGCTGGAAGCATATTGTGTTACCCTGTACCATCACTCCGTTATACCATCATTCTGTCATTCAGTCATCATTGACTTTCCATTCATTATCTCGGCAACAGTTGCACACATTCAACTTAAATTTGACATATGGATATGTCATAGGAATACGCAAGTCAATCAAATTTGGTCATGGTCCGATGATTTTTGACAGAGTTAACCCTCTTGAACTTTGGAAAAAAATAAGAAATTTTCAGTTTCCGCTCTATTGCTTATGTAGGGATGTATGTATAAGATTGAAAGTGCATATGCAGGTATTTTTAAATTATTAGAAAATACAGGTCAAGTTCAAATTTGGTCATGGTCCACTGATTTTTGACAGAGTTATCCCTCTTGAACTTAGAAAAGTTTTTAAAATTCACAATTTCTTATCATTATCTCGGCTACAAATGTTTTAGATCCAAAAAAAAGAAAAACGAAAGAATTTTTATGAAATCTGTGTTTGCTACAGATGAAGGTGTTTGACAGATGTGGAAGAACAACAAGAAAGATAGTAGTGGCTACAAACATAGCTGAGACATCGATCACCATCCCAGGCATTGTGTACAGTAAGTCAGTCTACTGTCTGCCTCCATCTAAGGCATTATGTACAGTAAGTTGGTATTCTGTCTGCCTCCATCTAAGGCATAATGTACAGTAATCAGTCTACTGTCTGCCTTCATCTCAGGCATTATGTACAGTAAGTCAGTATTCTGTCTGCTTCCATCTAAGGCATAATGTACAGTAAGTCAGTCTACTGTCTGCCTTCATCTCAGGCATTATGTACAGTAAGTCAGTATTCTGTCTGCCTCCAGTGCAGACATTATGTATATAGTAAGTCGGTATTCTGTCTGCCTCCATCTAAGGCATTGTGTACAGAAAATCAATAATCTGTCTGCCTCCATCACAGGCATGGTGTATATAGTAAGTCAGTATTCTGTCTGCCTCCATCCCAGACATCTTTACAGTAAGTCAATATACTTTCTGTCTCCATCCTAGGCATTGTGTATAATTAGTAGGTAATCTGTCTGTCTCCATTCCAGGCAGTTTGTACAGAAACTCAGTATCCTCTCTATCTACATCTCAGGCATTGTGTACAATAAGTCAGTATCCTGTCTGCCTCTATCCTAGGCATTGTGTAAAGCAAGTCAGTACCCTGTCTATCTGCATCCAAGACATTGTGTACCGTATGTCAATATCCTGTCTAGCTCCATCCTAGATATTATGTACATTAAGTACCCTGTCTGTTTCCATCCAAGACATTGTGTACAGTAAGTCAGTACCCTGTCTGTCCACATCTCAGACATTGTATACAGTAAGTTAATATCCCGTCTGTTTCCATCCTAGGCATTGTGTACAGTAAGTCAGTACCCTGTCTGTCTACATCTCAGACATTGTATACAGTAAGTCAGTACCCTGTCTGTCCACATCTCAGACATTGTATACAGTAAGTTAATATCCCGTCTGTTTCCATCCCAGGCATTGTGCACAGTAAGTCAGTACCCTGTCTGTCCACATCTCAGACATTGTATACAGTAAGTTAATATCCCATCTGTTTCCATCCCAGGCATTGTGCACAGTAAGTCAGTACCCTGTCTGTCCACATCTCAGACATTGTATACAGTAAGTTAATATCCAGTCTGTTTCCATCCCAGGCATTGTGTACAGTAAGTCAGTACCCTGTCTAGTTCCATACAAGCAGTGTGTACTGTAATGCAGTAAATTAAATGTATATTTTAAAAATATTTTTCTCAAGAACTACTGTGCCAAAAGAGATGAAACTTTTGTGAAAGCTTCCTGACATAGTGTAGATTTTAGTCTGTTCATATTATGAACCCTTGGGGGAGGGTAGAACCATTATGGGTGATCAAAATTTTACGTAGGATTGATTGATTGTATGTTGTTTTACGTCCCATTTGAGAATTTTTACACTCGTATAGAGACGCCACCATAAACCGATGAAGGGCTTCAAATTTAGACCTTTACTAGGCACGGAGGGCCATTGAGCAGTGAGGGTTCTTTATCGTGCCAACGCCTACCGTAACATGGTTTTTAAGGTCTCATCCAAAGGACCAGCAACTTTCACTTCAAAGGAACAGTCGCTACCTACTGTGAAATCACTAATTTTTGTGAGGGTTTAATTTTCATTGTTTTCATGGTTTGAAAAGACCCACGAAGCATTTTCAGGTAGTTTAGATTCAAGTTTGTTCAAATCCTGACCCCCTGGGGTAGGCTGGGGCTACAATGGGTGATCAAAGTTTGACATAGGATATATAGGAAAAAGAATCTATTGATGAAAAACAAGAAGGGCCAAAGTTACTCAGATGAGAGTTGTGGGCCTCTTGTGAATCTTCCAGTAGCCTTGACTCGTATTTAAAACAAAAAATTAATTTTGTCAAAACTTATTTACTGTCTTTTGAATTCCTGGGTTTGTGAACACCATGAATAAAGTGAATACACGTACTTACAATGCGAGTTATCTTCCCCCTATGCATTATTATGTCACCTTAAATTTGTCTTAGCAATAGAATAAAGGAGTAATTGAACATGAATTGGTGGAGGTTGGCCCTCTCTGTGTATTAAAATGCACTCTAAAGCTTGTACATTTAAAAATCCAATTTATTCCAGTATCAATGGATGCAGGTTCATACACTCAATAATGCTGTTCCATCCCATGTATTATGTCCAGTAAACTTTGACAAAGTTTTAAAATGCAGATTTTTAAATGAATGTCCTAGTTTCTACTGAAAAAATAGTAAAGTTTTCTTTCTATTCTATATGTTACAGTTGAACCATTTTCATTGTTGACATCTTTACAGTTGTAGATTGTGGATTTGTGAAGCTGAAGGCTTACAATCCAAAATCAGGAGTTGGTATGTCAAAATTATTTAATATGTTGACGGTGTGACCGTTAGGGCGAGCGCAGATACCTTTCAGTCTTAATTTAGATCGGGCTCGTCAAACCGCACGTGACATTTGCTACGTCTAGACTCTGACGTCATATGACGTCGTATGTATGTTGCATTACCAAAACGAAGTCTGAACAGTGCTATTTTTAATCAAAAACGTTTAATCTACTATCTATCTGCTATTTATCCATTAAATCAAGGTGATTTTATATTTTGTTGAATTTTTGTTGCTACCGCGAGAACGTGGTTTGCGGCGAGATGCAATTCGCTAAGCATTATGGGACCACAGGTAACTGCGGAAAAAAATTTACTTGGATCAATGGGCAAAATCCGAATTTTCTCTTCGCCCAGGCGTTGCTTTAAGAGCTCGCAGTGATGCTCGCTATCATAAAAATAATATTTTATTGAAGGTAATGCTAGCGTTTGAGCTAATTATCAATTTTAATCTTACCTTTTAATTCAAGTTTGTTGTATATAAGTGTTTATACTCAGTAAGAGATCTATAATTAAATGAGAAAATATTTTGAATTTTATATACAGTCAAATTTTCTCATTTCAAACACCATTATTTTTAAAACCAGGGATAAAATTGAAATCTTAACTTGAAAATTGTAAATCTTTGGAAATCTTGAAGTTTTGTGTAAATCCCATTGAAGTTAAAATATGAAGATGATTATGTATGAGATTTCCTGTAAATGATTGCAGAGTCACTGGTAACGGTTCCTATTTCAAAGGCTTCAGCAGAGCAAAGGGCTGGGAGAGCAGGCAGAGTGAGGGCTGGAAAGGCTTACAGACTGTACACAGGTTAGTCTGAGGGCAGAAAAGGCATACAATAAAGACGTACAGACTGTACTTAGGTTAGTCTGAGGGCAGGAAAGGCATACAGTAAAGGCGTACAGACTGCACACGGGTTAGTCTGAGAGCAGCAAAGGCTTACAGACTGTACACAAATTAATCTAAGGGCAGAAAAGGCATACATACTGTTCTTAGGTTAGTCTGAGGTAAGAAAAGGCATACAGACTGTACACAGGTTAGTCTAAGGGCAGGAAAGGCATACAGACTGTACACAGGTTAGTCTGTACAGGTTAGTCTGAGGGCAGGAAAGGCATACAGACTGTACAAAGGTTTTTCAGATAATAATAATAATAATAAAAGATGAAATATAAATGTTACACCCCAAAATATACTTTGTACAGGTAAATACATAGACTTTCAATCAGAAATTGGCTACAAAAAATGCACCAACTTATAAGAAAGTCAGTGGCAAATTCCTCCAAAATAATTTCAAAAAATACAAACATTACTATTTCAATGCAAAATTAAATGGATTACCTTTCAGTGGAATTTTTTTTTTAAATCTTGTAGTAAATCAGTCCAAATTGATACAGTGGTTTCTATTATCTGACTCTTAATTGGTGAAGTAAAATTGGGGATGCTGTACATTGGATGCAATAATTTTTTTTCTTTTTTTTTGGATTGAAAAAGTATTTGTTGACTAGTAAATGATTTCAAAGACTGTTGTACTTTTTAACTAGCTGGTTGAAAAAACTCGAGACCTAAATCTATTTTCTGATGATTTAAAATTAGGGAACAATAAAGACTGGTCTGTCAGCTATTTATTTTTTATAGAGTTAAATCACTTTTAATTATTTCTATATAAATTGTGAAAGCATACTTTGTGTTTTCGTAAAGTTCACTATTAGTGGTATAACTTTTAATCTCTCTTCTCTAGAGGATGGTTTTGAGGGGCTTGAAGCCTCCACTGTCCCTGAGATTCAGCGGTCAGACCTGGCCCCTGTGATACTGCAGATGAAAGCCCTGGGAGTGTCCAACATTGTCAGGTTCAACTTCCTATCGGTACGTTTAAGACCAATCAAAATTAGTCAATCTTCTGTTATTCTTCCAAAACAAGTTAAGGGCTGATCTGATATTTAAAATATTCACTACCGGTAATTTATTGATTAACATTTGAATATAATAAACTTTTTAGTGATATATATGGTACTTATAAAGATATAATGTAACTTATGGTATATCCAAGGTCTTTATTTTCGTATTGGTGTTCCACCCTTGCATTTTATGTGTTTGTTACTTACACAAAGTTTAAATCCTGAGCCAGCATACTGCAATCTATTACTTTTTTCAAAAACATTTTACACAACACTTCATCAAACCTGATACCTGTAATTATAATGGTACCCTAATATCCAGTTTTGTGTCATACAAAGAATGTCATGAGAAAGAGGTACCACTGTATTTAAGGTCTTCCGTTTCCAACGGAAGACCTTCAACTGATTCTGTTGTTTCTTTTCCACTATTATTATTTTTTTTTTTTTTTCTTACCGATTTTGTGCAGACGATTTCTCGAGAATGCCTCGATAGATTTTCACGAAACTTTCAGCAGTGATGGCAAATCATCTGAACTTTATGCGTTTTTTTTCATTTTGTTGTCGTCACTTCCGGTCGCGAGATATGGCCAATTTCTCATTTTTAAAATGGCATTTTGTTCGTGAGTGTTCTCAAAAACGGTTAGAGATTGAGTCTTGAAACTTTCAGGGATGATAGATTGTGACTCGTAGATGTGAGAAACCTGTATCGTTTTTGTTGCCGATACGTCCGTTGTCCACCGGAAGTAGTTTAAAAATATGCAAATTTTTATTTTTTTCTTATTGAAATGTTTTTAATAGAGGCGAATAGACTGTTTCGAGTCATTTCCACCAGAAGTTATTTCTTCCGAACCGGAAGTAGTCGAAAAAATGCTCATTTTTCCTCGAAACTTTGAGGGATGATTCCTCCACACTCAGTGAGGAGTTAAAAGTCATTTTGACTACTTCCGGTCATACCGGAAGTGAATAAAAAAGACCGGAAGTTGTTTGAAATTGATAGATTTCACTCTTTTATGAGTTGCTAAACAATTCTGAAGAATTGATATGAATATTTTTTACATTTAAAGTTGTTTTACTTTCTTTTATCAATCAAAATTTCCCAATCAACATTTTATCAGAAATCTAATGGAAGACCTACTCGTTGCGAGCAACGAGATCTCATCTAGTTATAATTCTTATCTGTATAACTTTCAGCCACCTCCTGCACAGAATATGATCAGAGGTCTAGAGTTGCTGTATGCACTTAAAGGTCTGTAGCTGTCTTTCATGTGACATATTGCACATAAAATATGTTATAGTGAATCCATTTACAGTATAAGGGATTAATTCTACGGGTTGTAATTTTCACGTTTTTTTTTTTTTTTCTCTTCTTACACTATCACAATTTGATAAATTCTCGGAATTTGTATAAAATGAAATTCACCTCCCTTTGCATTTTCTAGCAAGAACAACAAATGTGTATAATGTTTTATGCACAATAACACAGTGTCTGCTGATTTGAATTTAATAAATTGTGGCAATTAAAATAATTAGATGACAAGTACTACTTGTAATTACTGATCATAAAAGATTTTGATATGCAGATCTGCTGGTAGTCTGGACTCATGCCATATTTGAAAAAAAATATAAATAATATTTCAGAAGAGGAAAAAAAAATTCCTTCAAAAACTTAACATTTTTAAAAAAAAAAAACTCTTATGACTGTCATTTGCAGGTCTTTGAAGAATAAAATGATGCTTAATTTTTCTATTTCAGCTCTGGATGATAATGGTAACTTAACGTCACCTTTAGGGTTACAAATGGCCGAATTCCCCCTGTCACCAATGTTCTCCAAAGCACTGCTTTCCTCCGGTAAATATGTTTTTAGTAGAGTTGTCTTTCTTGCTCTATAAATATTTTTTCATGCCATGAAATGTTTGGTAGATTAATATTATTATAATTATACCTCCTTGCTTGACAAGTGGGGAGTACTTAGTGTCTGGGGTCTCCTCATTTTCCTCTAAATAAAATTGTATGAGACTTTCACAGAATCTTTATTACATATGAAGTGCCTTTATGCACCTATTTTACTTTTTGATCGGACAAATATTTGGGATTTTTCATAGCAAAACATGGACTTGCCATTATACTCGATAAAGAGGGTACCCATTTTGTTAACACAACTCCTCCCAAACTCCTGAATGAAATTCATTTGAACTTTTACAGATTTTCATTTACATACTGCCAAGAAATACACTTTATATTCATGGGAGTGGGGAATATCTTTAGGCACTCAAAAATGGTCAGCCAAAGTGGTTCTGTCGCTATGTACTCCTCGTAAAGATGACGAATTACACAGTGCAAATAGTGCTCTGATCAATGCCCTTATAAAGAAAAAATACAAAGATGACTCATTTGTGTATATTAGTGATAACATAAACATGTCTACTAGGCATGCCAAAGTCCTAGAAAAAGACAATGTCCATCTTACACAAGATGGTGTTGCCATGTTAGCCTCCAACATAAAAAGATCAACCCTTCTAGCATTAGGAATTGAGCAGTCTCCAATTCAGATGGAAAAAGACCAAGACTCTCGCCGTGCTTCACCAAAGAAGATGTACACGTACCATCGGAGATCGTGAAACTACCAGTACGCACCATCTGGACCATGGGAAAGGAGATCTTACCAACCTGCCAGCTATGGCTTTAACTATAATTACTAACTTTTTTTTTCATCTTTTTAGGTTTTACCTATCAGTTACACAGATGATATATATAAACAATGCTGTGTGTTCTACTCCAGCATATGAATTATAGTAATACACTTGAATACTGCACCACCTCCACTTATCAGTGCACCTGTACTAATGACCATCATGTTTATTTGCAACGCCCTTTTTTTTTTCTCACATAATGTTGCTAGAATATATATTGTTAGCTCACCTGAGCCGAAGGCTCAAGTGAGCTTTTCTGATCACATTTTGTCTGTAGTCCGTCTGTCTGTCTGTCTGTCCGTCTGTCCGTCTGTAAACTTTTCACATTTTCAACTTCTTCTCCAGAACCACTGGGCCAATTTCAACCAAACTTGTCACAAAGTATCCTTGGGTAAAGGGGATTCAAGTTTGTTCAAATGAAGGGCCACGCCTTCTTCCAAGGGGAGATAATTAAGAATTCGTGAAAAATTAATAGCATCATTAAAAAATCTTCTTCTCAAGAACCACTGTGCTTGAAAATGTGAAACTTATGTAGAAGCATCCTCAGGTAGTGTAGATTCAAGTTTGTTCAAATCATGACCCCGGGGGTCGGGTGGGGCCACAATGGGCGATCAAAGTTTTACATAGGAATATATAGGAAAAATCTTTAAAAATCTTCTTCTCAAGAACAGCAAAGCCATGATTGTTCATATTTACGTGGAAGCATCCTCAGGTAGTGTAGATTCAAGTTTGTTCAAATCATGACCCCCGGGGGTCGGGTGGAGCCACAATGGGCGATCAAAGTTTTACATTGGAATATACAGGAAAAATCTTTAAAAATCTTCTTCTCAAGAACAGCAAAGCCATGATTGTTCATATTTCCCTGGAAGCATCCTCCGGTAGTGTAGATTCAAGTTTGTTCAAATCATGACCCCCGGGGGTCGGATGGGGCCACAATGGGCGATCAAAGTTTTACATAGGAATATATAGGAAAATGTTTTAAAAATCTTCTTCTCAAGAACAGCAAAGCCATGATTGGTTATATTTATATGGTAGCATCCTCGAGTAGTGTACATTCAAATTTGTTCAAATCATGACCCCCGGGGGTCGGGTGGGGCAACAATGGGCGATCAAAGTTTTACATAGGAATATACAGGAAAAATCTTTAAAAATCTTCTTCTCAAGAACAGCAAAGCCATGATTGTTCATATTTACATGGAAGCATCCTCAGATAATGTACATTCAAATTTGTTTAAATCATGACCCCCGGGGGTAGGGTGGGGCCACAGTGGGCAATCAAAGTTTTACATAGGAACACATAGTAAAAATCTTTAAAAAAACCTATTTCTTAAGAACAGCAAAGCCATGATTGGTCATATTTATATGGAGCATTCTTAGATAGTGTATGTTCAAGTTTGTTCAAACATGACCCCTGGGGGTCGGATGGGGCCACAATGGGTGATCAAAGTTTTACATAGGAATATATAGGTTAAATCTTTAAAAATCTTCTTCTCAAGAACAGCAAAGCCATGATTGGTCATATTTACATGGAAGCATCCTCAGATAATGTACATTCAAATTTGTTTAAATCATGACCCCCAGGGGTAGGGTGGGGCCACAGTGGGCGATCAAAGTTTTACATAGGAACACATAGTAAAAATCTTTAAAAAAACTATTTCTTAAGAACAGCAAAGCCATGATTGGTCATATTTATATGGAGCATTCTTAGATAGTGTATGTTCAAGTTTGTTCAAACATGACCCCTGGGGGTCGGATGGGGCCACAATGGGTGATCAAAGTTTTACATAGGAATATATAGGTTAAATCTTTAAAAATCTTCTACTCAAGAACAGCAAAGCCATGATTGGTCATATTTAAATGGAAGCATCCTCAGATAATGTACATTCAAATTTATTCAATTCATGACCCCCCCCCCCCCCCCCCCCCCCGAACCACTTTTATATTTAAACTTTTCAACCTTTCAAGACTGAACTGATTTCTGCTTTTTCCTAGCCATAGTGCTCAGGTGAGCGATGTGGCCCCTGGGCCTCTTGTTTTATATGTATTGAAGGATGTTGTACCTTTTCTCTTGATTTGGGTTTGGAAATTCGATAGTTTTTATTTAGAATGTATCAGATGTACAGCAAGACAATTAAATGTTAAATGTGCTTTTTGGAATATTGGAGGATTGATATCAAAAGGTATGAACAAAATGGATGATGAGCTTTTTCTATCAAGAATTATGGATAAAGATTTAGTATTCCTTGTGGAAACACACATTGGACCAGATACAATTGTTATACATGATGATTTTTACTGTCATACAATTTGTAGAAGTAGATCTATAATGGCAGATACTATGGAGGAATATCAATATTAATTAAGCATGAGATTAAAGATCATGTCTCTATAGTTAAAAATACATGTAGTGAATACCAGTGGATCAAATTAGAGAAAACTTTTTTTCAATTTTGATAGAGATTTGTATATATGTACTGTATACAATCCCCCTGAAGGATCACCTGCAATTACAAAAAATAATATTAATATTTTGGAGCTTGTACAGAAAGATATTTTTCATTTTAAAGATTTAGGAAATATAATGCTTTGTGGAGATTTTAATGCTAGAACAGGAAGCGCAGTTGACTATATATTTGATGATAACATTCAATATTTACCTTTATTTGAAACATATAAAATTGATAATGATATTTCCAACAGAGTTAATAGGGACACTTGCATGGATAAAAGAGGAAAAGAGCTAGTAGATTTCTGTATTGCAAACCAACTCCGTATTATGAATGGAAGATGTTTTGGTGACATCTTTGGAAATTTCACTTGCCATAATTATCATGGTAGTAGTGTTGTTGATTATCTTTTAACTGATGAAGAAACTGTACAACATATTTTGTTTTTTGAAGTATCAGATTTTATTTCCACATTATCTGACTGCCACTGTATGTTGTCATGGAATATTTTTTCTCAATATGGTTCTACTATTAGAGAAAATAGTATAGATAATAATCAATGCAAGACCCATTCATCCTTTAAATGGGGAGAAGACTCTGCTATGAAATTTATAGAAGCATTACAGTCCCAAAAAATAAAAGACAATTTTGATAACTCCATGAGCATCAATGACATAGAGTCTATAGAATCAAGGGTAAAAAGTTTAAAAGATTCCCTGGAAGCTGCCGCCATTATGTCATTAAAACCAAATTTACCTAAAAATAAAACATGTAAAAGTAATAAAAGCCCTGCTAAACATAAAAATAAATGGTTTGATAATGAGTTGATACATATGCGTTCAAAACTAGTAAGGAAGGGAACTTTATTTGGCCACAATCCTAGAAATATTTATGTTAAGAATCAGTATTATAGAGCGTATAGAATTTATAACAAACTAGGAAAACAAAAATTTAGAACAAAAATTTAGAACATACCATTGTAATATTATTAACAAGCTAAATACTTTAGGTTCAACTGATCCAAAAAAAATATTGGAAACTTATAGGGGAATTAAGAAATGGAAACAAAGGCACAATTGATACATCAATCTCTAATAATGATTGGATAAACCACTTCAAAAAATTGAATAAAACTCATGAGGATTTTTATGATCAAGATCAGTTTCTCAAAGACCAACTAAAACAAACTGAGGAAACATCAACACCCATTTTTAATGAACTTGACTACAAAATATCTTGGAATGAAATAAATAAAGCAATCAGCAAACTAAAAAATGGTAAGGCAGCTGGGCCTGACAGAATTTGTAATGAAATGCTGAAACATGGTCAAATGTTTCTTATACCAGTCTTACTGAAAATCTTTAATGCTTGCTTATCTCTTGGCTATTATCCTTCTTCATGGTGTGAAGGATACATCACTCCAGTATACAAATCTAACAACACTAATGATCCCAACAATTATAGGGGAATCACAATTACCAGCACAATTGGCAAACTTTTTAATTATATTCTTAACTCAAGACTAGATAAATATTTACAATGTAATAAAAAAATCAATCCATGTCAGATAGGATTTACAAAACAAGCTAGAACTTAAAATTCAGATCATGTTTTTGTTTTGAAAACACTTATTGAAAAATATTGCAAATCAAAACAAGGGAAACTATATGCTTGCTTTGTTGACTTCCATAAGGCCTTTGATAGTATAAACCATGCTGGTTTGAAACTTTAATAAACTATTAAAAGCAGGTATCAGCACAAGATTTTACTCAGTTGTTAAGGAAATGTATTCTAAAAGCTATTCGTCTATTAAACTGGGTAACAAATTAATTGGTCACTTTCACACATACAATGGGGTTAGACAAGGCGATAACTTGAGTCCAAACTTATTCAAGATTTACCTTAATGATCTACCTAATTATCTATCAAATTCTGAAAGTTTTGTAAAATTAAACAATGATTCATCTACATCTATTCATTGTCTCATGTATGCTGATGACATGGTGCTTCTCTCCCCCACTGCTGAAGGTCTACAAGAAAAACTCAATATACTAAATACATACTGCAAGGACTGGTGTCTCAAAGTTAATACACAGAAAACAAAATTTATAGTCTTCAATTCATCTGGCAAGCACATCAAAATCCCCTTCCATCTGAATAACAACAATATCGAATGTGTTAAACAGTACAAGTATTTGGGTCTGACAGTTAATGCATCTGGAACACTAACTAGCGCTAAAAATGATTGTTGTAATAAAGCAAAAAAAGCCTATTTCAAACTTCAAAAAGACTTTCTCACATTTAATCCATCAGTTAAAACTGCTTTAAATGTGTTTGACCACACTATTAAACCCATTAATCTGTACGGTTCAGAGTTATGGGTTTTTTTTGACCCATCAACTTCCAAATTTAAGAGAAATCCAAATATAACATTAGATAAAATATACCAAAGTTTAGAAGGCGAAAGTTTGCATCTTAAATTTTACAAACATTTATTAGTGGTTCATAATAAAAGCAGCAATTTTGCTGTAAGATCTGAGCTAGGACTATTGAATGTACACTTTGATGTCATCAAAAATATGTTGTTATATTGGCATAGATTAGAGAATCTAGATGGGGAATTTCCCTTACTTAGTGAGGCTTATAAATGTTCCAAAACACTAAACCAAAATGGAGTTACTTCATGGTATTCTTGTATTAACTTCTTACTTAACCATATTGATACATGTATTAAACTTAGTGATGTTTTAGGTATGTCACTCCCACGGTTTAAAATAAACTTGAAAAGAATATTACTTAACTTCTATAAAATTACATGGGAAAAAGACAGGAATTTGCATAAAGATGGTAAATTATCTACCTTCACATGCCTAAAGACTAAATTTTGTTTTGAACCCTATCTAGATATTTTAACAAACAATCAACATAGATCAGTCATAACTAGGTTACGAATATCGATCAGCTCACAGGCTTAAAATTGAAATTGGACGATATCAAAAAATACCTAAAGATGAACGATTTTGTTCCCTTTGTGATCACAAGGAGATTCAGGATGAAATTCATTTTCTCCTTGTATGTCCTCATTTTAGTGTACAAAGACTTGAACTCATAAATATTTGTAATAATAAATGTAAAAATTTTCAGTCCCTATCATATGATAATCAATTTCTTTGGCTCATGACTAATGAAGACCCTGAAATCCTAAGATCTCTTGCTAGATTCCTTGATAATCTACCTTAACTGAAAAATTTAAATATATTTGGGGATGTATATACATGTAGGAATGGCAATATATCATCTCTTCTGTTCTTTGATATGCATATATGTATCTTTCCAGCTACTTGACTATATATTATTATTATATTACAATATGTATACTCGTATATATCTCTTGTAGATGCATTTATCAATGATTATACAATTAAGCACTGCTCATTATATTTAAGATCATGTTTGTTCTATCATTTGGATCTTCCTCCTTCTTTGTTTCATGTCTGTAAATCTTTTTTGCTCCTCCGGGGGCCCAAATTGGACTAATAAATCTTGTATCTTGTGAGCTCTGCAGTGCTCACAGTACCTCTTAGCTTTAACTGAAATAGTCTATTTTATTTACTTTTCAAAATGAACATCTTTATTATTTTATTTGAACAGTGGCTTTAATTCTTTATAAAGTGATTTAGACTATTATTTCTTTATTGATCACACCTCTCTTTGTCCACCTATGGTATATTCCTATAGACATACTTCTCTGCTTGAGAATAATTTATGCTGTGTAGGCCTTCACAGAGTCTCTGCAGAAATTTGTCACAGCATGCTTAAAATGTGTTTAAGGCATAAAATGGCTAGCTGCGGATCTGTAGCTGGCTCGCCTGAAAAGAATTGGGATGGACGACCAGAGAGCTACAGTGCCACCCATTGAAAAAAGTGTATATTTATTGCGCACAAAAAAGTGCACTGTTTCTCGCTTTATTTCTCCATATATTTAAGCTGCCATCTCAAAATATTAAAAACCGTGTGTTTTTAACATATTTTTTCACTGCTTCCACAATAAAACATTTCCCAAAACTGTTGTTAATAGCCGTCCTGGGCCTGAAATTGAGACCATTGAAAATTTCGCCTACCTATACAGCCATCTTGAATGGCAAGACAATTCAGTCCAGCGCACTTCGTACATGACTTTTACATACAGTTTTGGAAAAGGGCAATCCAAGAAAACCCATAATTTTCTGATGCAGATGAAATAAAAATACAGTAAAACAGGCTAATAGTGAACACACTTATAATGAACTGACACTTACAGTGAAATGATTTTCATTCCCACACTTAACAGATTTAACGAATTATGTTTATAATGAAGCAAAATCATCTATCCCTGGCACTTTGTTATAAGCGTGTTTTATTGTAGTGATTTCATGGGATTGTGACCCTATGGGGAAAAAAAATTATGTTTACAGTACTTACTCATATAGTGATAGATTTCATGGAAAAAGGTGTAGTTTAGACAAGTTATTCAACTCATCTCATCTTTATTTAGGAGACTTTGGGTGTTCTGAGGAGGCAGTGATCATAGCAGCCATGACACAGATACAGAATGTGTTTATAACTCCAATAGGAGAGAAATCTGCAGCTGTAAGTTGTTATTTATGAAAACACCCTTTGAAAAAAGTTTGGATGCATAATAGCTACCTGTGTCATCTGTCCACTACAACTTTAGGATGTCAAATATTTTTGCTCAAATTGTCCTGTTATTTAGATGTATAGGGTGGTATGGAGATTTTATTATTGCCCAAAAGGTTGAAACAAAGAGTCCTAACTGATAATGTGGAATCCTTTTAATTCATGGGAGTCAATGTTCATGGGCAAGCAAAATTTTACTTGTTTGTGGGGATGTAATTTTGTGGGTTACTCATTACGAACATTGGTTCCCATGAACAATGATGATTCCACAGTATTTCAAATCTTGAGGGAGAGCCCATGCATAAAGTTCAGTGGTAAGAAGTTTAGAAGCTTGTGATATCCTGGTGACTCTCATGGCCCAATGATCCTTTTGTTAAATGACCTTACCATACAGACTGCCAACTGGGGTATTGCTGTCATTAGTGATAGTACTATGGAAGTTGTTTTACAAATTCTTGTTCCAGGGTGTTTGGTGTAGTAAGAAAATTCTTCTTCAAGGCTTCCTTACAAGATTTTCAGATTGTCAGACAATCTGTAATTTGTGTATCAGTTTCTACTTATTTCTCTGTATGTTTATGTTTTCTGAGTTATGTGGTTGTTACTAAGTTGGATAAGTTAACACTTTGAACTTTATTCCTTTGCTTTTCAGTTTCAAATGCAGAGATTGTCTAAAGAGATATGCCCCTCTGTTTATAGGAAGTTTAGAACACACTTTCTTCCATTACAGCTATATGTTTCATCACTCCCACACATTGATTTTTTAGGTCACCTGAGTCACTCAGGTGACCTATTGCTATCTGTTTTCGTCCATCGTCGTGCGTTAACTTTTGAACATTTTTAACTTCTTCTCTAGAACCGCTCAACCAATTTCAACCAAATTTGGTATATAGCATCTATAGGTGAAGGGGAACAAAAATTGTGAATTTCATGGTCCCTGCCCCCCAGGGGCCTGAGGGGTGGGGCTAAAACCACCAAAAATAATGCAATCTTTAAAAATCTTCTTCTTTACTCCTGGACATCAAGCAGTCAAACTGTTGGCATCATTGTAATAAGCATTGAGCCCTCTACCAAAATTGTGAAATTCATGGCCCCTGGGTCAGGGGTTCTAGCCCCAGGGTGGGGCTATATAGATCATATAGTGAAAGTGCATTATTTCTTTGAAAATCTTCTTCTCTGCTCCTGGGTATTAAATAAAGTTACTAAGTACATAGTTATGATGAGCAAGAGTGCCTCTTCCAAAATTGTGAAATTCATGGCCCCAGGGTCAGGGGTTCTGGTGTTAGGGTGGGGGTCTATTGATTATATAGTGAAAATCCATTAATTCTTTGAAAATCTTCTTCTCTGCTCCTGGGTATTAAATAAAGGAACTAAGTACATAGTTATGATGAGCAAGAGTGCCTCTTACAAAATTATGAAATTCATGGCCCCAGGGTCAGGGGTTCTGGTGTTAGGGCGTGGCTCTATAGATTATATAGTGAAAATGCATTAATTCTTTGAAAATCTTCTTTTCTGCTCCTGGGTATTAAATAAAGTTACTAAGTACATATTTATGATGAGAAAGAGTGCCTCTACCAAAATTGTGAAATTCATGGCCCCAGGGTCAGGGATTCTGGTGTTAGGGTGGGGCTCTATAGATTATATAGTGAAAATGCATTAATTCTTTGAAAATCTTCTTCTCTGCTCCTGGGTATTAAATAAAAGAACTAAGTACGTAGTTATGATGAGCAAGAGTGCCTCTTCCAAAATTGTGAAATTCATGGCCCCAGGGTCAGGGGTTCTGGTGTTAGGGCGTGGCTCTATAGATTATATAGTGAAAATGCATTAATTCTTTGAAAATCTTCTTCTCTGCTCCTGGGTATTAAATAACGGAACTAAGTACATAGGTATGATGAGCAAAAGTGCCTTTTCAAAACTGTGAAATTCATGGCCCCAGGGTCAGGGGTTCTGGTGTTAGGGCGGGGCTCTATTGATTATATAGTGAAAATGCATTAATTCATTGAAAATCTTCTTCTCTGCTTCTGGATATTTAATAAAGTAACTAAGTACATAGTTATAATGAGCAAGAGTACCTTTTCCAAAATTGTGAAATTCATGGCCCCAGGGTCAGGGGTTCTGGTGTTAGGGCGGGGCTCTATCAACTATATAGTGAAAATGCATTATTTCTTTGAAAATCTTCTCCTCTGCTCCTGGGCATTAAGGTGATAAACTAAGTACAAAGTTATGATGAGGTGGGCCTCTTCCAGAATTGTGAAAGCCATGGCCCCTGGGTCAGGGGTTCTGGTGTTAGGGTGGGGCTCTATTGATTATATAGTGAAAATGCTTTAATTCTTTGAAAATCTTCTTCTCTGCTCCTGGGTATTAAATAAAGTTACTAAGTACATAGTTATGATGAGAAAGAGTGCCTCTTCCAAAATTGTGAAATTCATGGCCCCAGGGTCAGGGGCTCTGGTGTTAGAGCGGGGCTCTATTGATTATATAGTAAAAATGCATTGATTCTTTGAAAATCTTCTTCTCTGCTGCTGGAGACTATTTAAACAAACTAAGTGCATGGTTATGATGCATAAGGATGCCTTTTCAAAAATTGTGAATTTCATGGCCCCAGGGTCAGGGGCTCTGGTGTTAGGGTGGGGCTCTATTGATCATATAGTGAAAATGCATTGATTCTTTGAAAATCTTATTCTCTGCTACTGGAGATTATTTAAACAAACTAAGTGCATGATTACATGATTATGATAGACAAGGATGCCTCTTCCAAAATTTTTAAAAATATGGCCTCAATTTTTGGGGTTCTTGAGGGGGGGGGGGGGCTCTATTGATTATATAGTGAAAAAGCATTAATTCTATTAATTGATCATTAATTAATCCTGTCTGCTCCTTAGTGTTGAGCTGATAAATAAATTGCTTAGCTATGATGAAAATGGGAGCTTTGAACAGAATTTTTAAATCTTGTGGTCCTAGGGTCAGGGGTTCTGGCATAACGAAGGGGGGGGGGGGGGGGTTGATAATATAGTGGAGAAGTGTTAATTCTTTGAAGTCCATAGTTATGATGATGAGGGTAACTCTTCCAAATTTGTAAATTTCTTGACCCTTGGTCTTGGGTTCTGATGTTAGGGTAAGGCTTTGTTGAATCTGTAGTGAAAATGCATTGTACCTGTGAAATTCTTCTCTGCTTCTGGGTATATCAGAAGCAAACTGAGGAAAAGTTTAAATGATATGAGTAAGTGTATTTCTACCAGATTTTTAAACATCTGGACCATTCGTCTAAGCATTCTGGTCCTGGGCAGGGCTCTATTAATTTGTATTCTACTGAGAGAATTTATTCCCCTTTTCCATTCACCTTTGATAATTAACCACTGTAAATAATGTATTTGAAAGGTTAATAGAATGAGATAGTTATGCAAGAATGTTTATCGTATAATTAAAAAAGTACTTTCTTAGTTTGAATAATCAGGTAGACCTGTAAGTAATAGATAAATAAAAATGAGACAAAAATAACTTATCTTATTAAAAGTTCTTCAAAGACCATAAGAGAGGTCAATGCTAGAGGTCTTAATATGGGTTTAAAAATAGTACAGAAGCACTAATAGTTTGTCAATAGTCTGCATGGTGATGGTGTTAAGTGGGGGACAGATTAGAACTTAATTCATGAGTTGATACTGAATACTAGACTAATTATTTTGTTGATCCTGATCTTCCTACTTCTCTTGCTTTAGGGCTTAACTTCGAAATTGTTGCATTATACTCAGGTGACCGTTAAGGCCCTTGGGCCTCTTGTTTTTTTTTATGCCCCCTAATTGGAAGATTCCATCTGTCTAGCTGTCTGTCTGCAAAAACTTTAACCTTACACATAACTTTTGATTGGTTGGAATTATGGCTTTCATATTTCACTTGTGTATTCCTTATGACAATACCTTTCTTTGAGTACCATCATATTTGACCTGACCTTGGAGTTCGACCCGGTTTTGCAAAATTTTACCCAACTTTAACCTTTACCATAACTTTTGAACAGTTGGTGCTAGGGCTCTCTTACTTCACATGTGTAATCCTTGTGACAAGACCTTCCTTTGGATACAACAACTTTGACCCTTTGACCTTGACCTTAGAGTTTGACCTACTTTTGAAAAACTTTAACCATGGCCATAACTTTTGAATGGTTGGTGCTAGGACTTTCATATTCACGTGTATTTCTTGTGAGAAGGCCTTTCTTTGAGCACTATTAATTTTGACCATGACCTTGATGTTTGACTTACTTTTGAAAAACTTTAAACTTTTCTATATCTTTTCAATAGCTGCTGCTAGCTAGGGCTGTCATATTTCACAGGTATATTCCTTGAGAGTTGAGACAAGACCTTACTTTGGATACCAACCTATTTGATTTGCATTTAAGGAAGTTTAGTCTATGCTATTAGATGCCATCAGTGTTACACCTTTTTTTGTTTCTCTAACATGTTAGAGAACACCTATAATGATGTCACATTTTGCTACGTAATATTGTTTAAAAAAATTTTTGAGTATTTTATGCAGTAATAATGTACAGATATTTCTGAACAATTCTAGTAGGAAAACAGGGAAGGTTCCATGATGTGTGCTCATTATTTTCTGATTTTCTCGAAACTGAGCCAGTGCTCCAAGTCACACTATCAAGTCGCTAAATGGCGACCCTAAATTTTTTTGGGTCGCCATTTCAGAATTTCTGGTCGCTATCAACAGATACAGTCCCTGAAACATTCTACTTTCCCACTTGAACGGTGAGTGAACGCTGAACGAACGGTGAACGAACGCTGAACGAACGCAGAGCGAACGGTGAGTGAACGATGTGTGAACGCTGAACGCAACTTGGTGAACGATGTGTGAACGGTGAGCGAACGCAGAACGCGAACGGAGCGCAAACGCAAACGCAAAGTGAACGGTGAACGAACGGTGAACGCAAGATGAACGATATATTCGGAATG